ATCAGTTTCTAGTTTTAATCTTCCTCTTTGAAGATGATCACTTGATGATCGAAACACGTGTCGAGGTGTTAAAAATAACGATTTGGTGTTGGAAAAAAACTCCAGTAATATTTATTTAGGAAGAGCACGTTGAAAGATGGGACCTCGTTTATCCCTAGCTCGCACGAGTTTTTATTTTTGAAGGTTGTTACCGGAAAACAGATTTCAACAGGTTTCTCAATCATTTCAGTGTATCATTTAGTGAATCAGCATTATTTTGGTAAATCTACCCAAATACCGAGCGAATATTCGAAACATATTTCATGGATACTCATTGAATATTCGAAGTATATTTTTTAAATATTCATCTAGTTTTTGAGGCATACTTTCATTGTATGATTCATTTTTGTATACTTCAATGTTCATTTGGAAGTAGTTGTTTTTGTAAAGTTGTCTTTGTAAACAGTTAATTTCAAATTCAACTGCTTTCTTCATTTCTTTCATTCAGTAAGGATATTTGATTCGTATGAATCTGATCTTCATAGATAAATATTCTCAATTTATTCATTGAAAAAAAATCAACATCTACTACTTTCTGATGCATAATAATTTGAACAATTGAAAGAAAATTTATTCCGAATTAATCCACATCTGAGTTTTTGATGAAACTTGGTTTTCACACATTATACGAGGGGAAACAAAGTTTTATTCCTGTCATCAAAGTTCAAAACACCCTGTGGTGAAATATAGCTTAGAAATGAAGATGGATGGTATGGTATGGATTAAGATGGTAATTTATCTGAAATTGGAACAATTCCTGATGATAACCATGTATCAACTGTTGGCGTAAAATCATATTATATTGTTTAGATTACCAATCTTCGAAAATATTATATCGAGTGGTCCAACAAAAAGTATGCACCTTGCTTTTCTCCTTTTTTTGTAACTTAACGCAAAAATGCACGGACAGGTCAATTTTCCTTTTGAAGGGGACACATTTAAGATGTATTTTTCTACCTCTGCCTTCAACTCCCTAGCGAGGGTGAGTAACAACCCTAAAATTTTAAATAGAAAGTGGGATCGAGTGATATATCATTTGAAAGGGCACAACATTCTCTTATTAAAAAAATAAAGTCTCATATCACAATTTTCAACGCACTTTTTCGTCGAAAGGAGTCTTGACAAAGTAGGTCGTCAGCGTCCCCTTGCCCTTGACGTAGGTTGGCCCCCTGCACTCGCAGTGGTAACCTGCGTTCATTAGAACTTGGGCTGTGACGTCAGTTGTCTGTATTCTGCCTAGCGTGCCGCAGGAATCCATCCTGGAGGCAACGTTGACAGTGTTGCCCCAAATGTCGTACTGTGGTTTCTGAGCTCCCACTACACCGGCTATCACTGGACCATGGTTCAAACCTGTGAAAGAAATGTCCACTGCAGATTTTTTCAAGTAGGAATAGAAATTTTGTGATGTATATTTGTCAGTTTTCAAATCCTTATGTCTATTTTCGAACAGTTCAAAAGATAATAAATTTCCTCGGAACAATTTGAGTATTTCCTACAAAAATAATAATAAGAATAATGATAATAATCAATAATAATAATGAGCAGGGATGGCCACCAACACTTAAGACATCACCAACACCGGCAGCCCAGGCACACTCGGAAGGGAGAACACTATTATCCCTCTGGTACCGTATTCTATCTTTGCCGGCACGGCTATATAGTTCCTTCCCAGTCTGTTAACGAAGTGAATCAGGCTCCCGAAGCCACAAGAATCGGCTTATTTTGATGCTGAGGTTCGTAGTGTTCTAACAGAACAGGCTGACATCTGGCAAATCAACACCGCCTTCTACAGCTTCGCCCAATCGCTTTCTTATTCGAAAGAACAAAATCCCGGCCTTGCCGTTCGGAAAATGGAACTGCATTGGACCAAATTATCACTTACTCCACGTTGTGGGGTTGATAATGACATTTTTGTAAACATGACGGCTGAAAGCTATTATTTAAAAGAAAACTCAAACTGAAAATTGAACAGTAACTGTTTCCATTTCAGAGATAGGTTGCTATACATTGTATCCCGATATAACAGCTAGATTTGCCAAGCTGTAATATGGTAGACATATCTTATACCTTTATAAGCACTCGGAATGGTTTTCCCAGATGAATCTATACAGGTTCACAGCTATACCTTTTTCTTTCAGCTACTATTCCCCTACTAACAATTATGTTTCAGGTACCAAGTCTGTTAATCCTGTAATGAATTTGGTCTAATTCAAACAAATTACTCGATTGCCATCACATTAATACAACTTTATTGGCTGAATAATTAGGTATGTTTTCTTGAGAAGAAATGATTTCAAAAATTTGTCAGTCAGATAATTAATACTAACAATTGGGTTTTTCCAACGGATTACGGGGATGACTCGTGATTCAGAATTAAACGAAATGTGTTGATGTGAATTAATCCAACCTTTCTTTCAGATGAAGATAATATTTTGACAAAAGATAAACAGTATGTGCATATTCTTGTGTCGTGTCACTGTAATTAATGTGCGTTTTTGACAGGAATAGTCGAGAATGAATTATGTCAATGTTTAATTCCTTATCAAAGGGGTCAATTATCAGCAAATAGTGTATAATATAGATAATGTTCAAAAAGTAAGCAATACAATTAAGGCCAGTGAATATAGATCTGTAAATATATTACCACCAATAGAAAAAATTCTTGAACTAGCTGTTTATAAGCAGGTACTTGATCATGTTGAAACAAATAAAATTGTAATAAATAATCAATCTGGATTTCGTAAAAAATGTTCATATGAATCCGCATTACAACTCACTTCATTTAGATTCAAAAAAGAAGTTGATAACAATAAATTTGTAGTAGCTGTATTTCTTGATCTGAAGAGGGCTTTTGAAACAATTGATCGTAATATTCTTCTACCAATGCTTATCTGACTATTCATCCCATTGAAAGCAAAAAGTCATAGTTCAAGATAATATCTCACAGGAATTGGATATACATATAGGTGTGCCTCAGGGTAGCGTTTCAGGACCTCTGCTTTTCATCTTATACTTAAATGACATAAACTTGTTTATAAACGTTGATTTTGTAAATTCATTTGCAGATGATACACTATTGGCATACTACAAGCTTAGATAAAGTTATTGATAAAATGAATGCTTGCGTTAAAGGATGTAAATGGCAAATGAATTGAAACTGAATAAAATGAAAACTAAGAAAACTTATCACAACAAAATATAAATGGAGCAACCTTGATTCAAATGAAATAAATCTACGAATATATAAGTAATATACGAATATATCTGTTATAAAAATTTATGGCATTATATAATGGAGATTTTTTGAAATAATCACTCTTATGTGAAGGGACCCTCAGAGCAGTAGCATATCGAGGTTTTGAACAGTTCAGCCATATTCATATAAAATAATTGAAATGCATGGTCATTCACCTCTACTTGCAAATTATCAAAAGATGTGTGGAGTCGATGTATTTTTGAGTTCTAAGATATTGGTTTATACTTTTTTGAGACTGCACAAATATTGATGATGCTTTTTCGGAGATGTACCTCGGAAAATACACATCGATGAAAAAACTACAGCACCGTATTCAAAAAATGAAGTCGATGATAAAATCTAATGAACGAAACGTCGCATTGCAAATTGATTTATATCAGATTATAACAAATATGAAACAGTATTGAAAGTTCCTTATTTTGTTTTAATATCATTCGAAATGAAGGTGGTAGAGCCAAAAACAAAACTAGACAGTTCTAGTTTTTGACGAATATTTCAAAAACAACTATTGATATTCTCGATCTGAACAGAGATCATTCTAGTTCCCCAAAATAGGACAATTTTGTCCAATTTCATATCTAAAAATCTTCTAAATGTGGTACTTCAATTTCAGCTTGATGAATCCTACTTTTTCTTCTTTTACAATAAACATGACAGAATAAAGAAATATAACTGAACACCATGATTTCAACGCTAACCTGCTTTGCAGGGATCCATGTCACTATCATTCGAAACCTTCCTGGGAAACCAATTATTCATCAGTTCTTCAGCAGTGAATTTGAAGGTCGTAGATTGATAACCTGACACCGTACTGTTTTCATGAACCACATAACTATGCACTGAAACACTGTGAAGAATAAAAAACATCAAAATGTCTCCGTACATTTCAAGTGAACTTTTTTAAACCACATGAACCGAAACACTGAGTGTCCTGGATTTGGCAAACTTGTGACCATCAAGGAAATCACCCTTTCGTAGAATCCTCAGGTGTAATTCCCTTTTACCGTTAGTTTGAAATTCAATGAAAAGGTGGTAATCCTTGTGAGGGATGCAGTTTTATTATGGGCTCGATTTGCAGGTACATGAAATTATCTGTCAGTGGTCCAGCTAAGTGCCAGAAGAACATGGTTATTGGCATGTTCTTGCGGTAAGATTATTGAATATTATTAGTTTTTATTGTGGAAATTCTGGAACTGTTTCAGAGTTTTCATTATTCAAAATAAAATATCCACACTTTACTTTGTATTGATAAGAATCACAATTTTCAGCTAGAAATCCATCTGAAAGAGACAAAACAAAAGAAGTTGCTGCAAAATTCTTGGTTTTACCTTTTCCTAATCAACCCGAAATTATATGAAGTGCCTCCATAATTAAGATTTGGCCATTGACATCCCTCTGAATGTCTAACTATTATTAAATCGCGACTAAATTGGAAACATATTCCCTATACTATGATTACTCAACATGAAGCGAGAATCTAATCAAACTACCAAACCATTCAACTAAATTATTCGAAAAATCACCGTCTCAAACAAGTTCATAATTATTCAATAGTCTCTCCCTCCCACTATAAAAAAACTATCGTTATTAGTAGCGAAGAATCCACTAATATCTCATATATACACACATTAGTTATTCTATAACTAACTTTAACTACGAATTAGCAACCCTTCTACACAAACAGCTATAAAAAGCTCTTGTTTTTCCATTGTAACTTTTTGTTTAGTTAAATTATAGTTTTAGCCACCAAGTTTGATTTTTGCAAGTCGATGTACTACTATACCATTATTTAACATGTTAAATGTTCCCGAATAAATTTATGAGGCAGCTTTTCTTAATTAACTTTCAATTTTTCTCAACTCTGGAAGCCAAGGAAATCAAATACTAATTTTCGGACAGTCCAGTGCGTTATTATTAAATACCAAAGAAAATTTACATTCAAATAAAAAGTAGAAGTCATTTTCGAACATTAAATTTATAATTTCACTCGATCTACGTTAATACAAAAAAATTTATATAATGAAGAGAGAAATGTTTATACAAAATATATTTTAAAAAAAACGTAATTTCCTTCAAAAATAAAATTCTAATTGGATATGGTCAGCTGGCGCCCTCTTCACTGCAATAGCTGAACACGTAGTTATTATTTCGGAACAATGAATACAGATCTTTTATTAGTAATGTTGTTTGAAGAGATCGTTTCAACCAACTGTGTTATATTATTTGAACAGAGGGCACTGTATGACGAAATCAAATTATTGGATGATATATTGACAAAATACTCCTCACCTATGGAATGAATCTGAAGAGAGAAATGAAAAGTGCCTCATAGTTTCATTTCAGATCAATCTCAGTTCTTTTTATTACTGTTACATGACAGATGAAATTAATATATTCGAAGCGATAGCTACGCCCTCTTGATTCCAGTAGTTGAATCCAACAACTAAATTGTTAAATTATAATTTTTATGTTACCCTATTCGTCGACAGAGGGGAATAGTGCTTCCTAAATAAATGTAGAAAGTTTTTCTACTGTGGTATAATAAGGTCTAATAAGACTATTCAATATAAAAATAAAATTCAGAAAGTTCCGTATTGCTCCCTCAAATGTTTCGTGTTTGTCGAAGACGAAGGATCTGTCTGTTTAAAATATGTTTTTCCGTTAAACAGATATCACATAACTTTTGGGAATCGTATGACCTAATATTAACAACAAAAAATCATTTTGTAAGCATTTTGAATGAAATAACACACAATCCGAATAAAAAGTATATTTTCAAAAACAATCAACATTCACCATAGAGACAAATAGTATTTTTCATAATATAATAAAGTAGTTCCAATAGTTATCAAATTTTAGGGATTGTCTGGATAACATGGAATATATACAATACAGTTTTCTAAATTTTTGAATAAGACAATATCATCAAAATCTCTATATAATTCTAATAAGTACGTATTCAAAATGTAGCGTGTACTATAGTAACTCATAAACTTGAGGCAGAAACAATATTCAGTTGAAGGTTCCAAAATCACTGAACCAGAAAAATTTGCACGAAAAAATTAACTTATTCTAATTTTTCTAATGTACTATAGTAACTCATAAACTTGAGGCAGAAACAATATTCAGTTGAAGGTTCCAAAATCACTGAACCAGAAAAATTTGCGCGAAAAAATTAACTTATTCTAATTTTTCTAATGTACTTTATTTCACTCAACATAATTCTTTAGACTTTCATTATTATCAACGTCTTGAAAATAAGTTTCTATTTTATAGATCTCTCATGAAATAAAGCAATTGGTATAAAAACTAACAATTGTTTCTTTTCTGACCTGATAAGAAAAAATAATTGTGTAATTTATCAAGATCACAAGCGATATTATCATTTATGAGATGTGTGTTCTGGTTTTTACACAACGATCCTCCACATTAATTTAATTATAAATACAGGAATCTGAATAGAGATTTTCAACAGAACTAGTCTGAAAATGGAAAGGGATATATTTGCAGGAGTCATTAATTTTCTGGATACATCTTGATTCAATGCGGGAATCTCCCAAAGAATCTGTCTGTTGAAATTTGTTCTTCCCTACGAACGACAACTGTCAAAAGTCGAAACCTGTGCGAGCTAAGGTTAACGAGGTCTTACCTTTCATCGTGTGATTCATAACACGAAAGGAATCTTTCTACTTCGCCATCTTGAAACAAAAAAGTGGGAATCTTTCAAGAAAGACACAAACTGGACTCTGGAGAGGTAGAAAGTCAAAATCTTTCTTTCTAAAATATTAGTTTCTCCTAGAATATAACGCTTTCAATTTAAACAAGATTCCCATGGCTGGGATTCAATCAAATAAGCGAATGAATGTCATAACGCATTGGTCTACTGCGCCGAAGGGAAAAAAAGAGAAGAAGAAAAAGAAGAATGACATAACGTACTGTCATCGATGACATGAGTAGAATAAACTCATTCCGTGGTATAAAGTATTTTTTTTATAATGTTATTCAGACTGAAGAGCTGATAAAGCAAGTGTCTTGAAGCAAGCGAAATGTGACCTCTTTCATTTATTGTATCGTGTATATTATAATTCCAAAACAGTAGGCACGGAATTCTCAGAAATGACTGACGTTTTTGCCTTAATTTGTTTCGTGCAGTGGCGTACAGAAATTATACTAAATAGATGAGGAAAAATATATAGAATCACCACCTGTCAAAAATGTTTTCAACAGTAATACCACTAGAGGTCAAATTATCTCTCATGAATATTTTGAAAATTTCCCGAGTCGTAGATGGAAGAAATTCATGAGCGAGATTGTTGCGTTGCTATGGTAACTAAGTAATTTCTACTAATTGTAGTTGCATGGGAATATCATTCCATTAGAGAAAATAGTAAATTCTTCAATTTTACATAAGTTTTGAGTAACTACAAGTGGTAGAAATTTGTTTTTTTTTGCGTTTTCATTATTGTGGGTTATGCGCGCTTTAATGGTATGGAATTCATAACCAGCGTCAGCAAGCATTACATATAGAAGTCTGTGAGCATTGTATTTGACAGTTCAAAACATCAAAAAAACTCGTGTTTTGTTGCGATAAAGAATATTGCACAGCCAGTAAAACCAACAAAATTCTGTGTTTAAATAATGTCGTGAATTCTGTCAAATACAGATCCAGAGCATACATACATACATACATACGTACAAGTGAAGCTACGTAAACTACGCAAATTTTAATGTACTGAAAATGAAAAAGATGAATAAATTAGTGTCTAAATATTATGTAGATTTCATTAGACATAGACACTCAATTGAAAACTTTCAAAGTCCTGCATTTCCACCGAAGAATATAGAAAACATCTTTGCTTTGTAATTAAAAGGGAAAACCCTAGTGACCTGAAATCCAATGGCATCTCTTGGAGAGTGGTAGTTGCTAGAATGGTAAATACTCTGATAGATGTTGTAAAAAACCTTCTAGTATTTTGTGCGCCCATGTGAATATGAAAACTAAAAATATTAGAGTCACTAAAGTACACTTCCACTAATTCTTACATCTAACAGCATTAATTTGGTGTTTTGCCTATGAAATCTAACCGAAGCTACGGATTCAATGAATACACTCTTCACAACTCAATCATTAGTTCTTCTTAACTGCTCGATACAATCCTTATTCTAAGTATTCAGTCATCAGGTACTCAAAATTCAAATTTCCAAATGCCTTACATCATTGATATGTCGAAACCAATTTTATCTCGTTAACATATGATAAAATTTAAGAACTATTCTGGATTATTAAATAATATTATTGTCAAAACTTCTATAACTCTGTGGAAATAATCAGTTTCACAGTATGTCGTCGGTATGTTCATTTCCCCTTTCACACGAATAATAATAATTATAATATTTAATTGCAATGTACAATGTATGAAGACAAAATTAGGTTTACTAAATTGAAATGACCTCACTCGTTCTCACTGGGGAACTGTATAATTTGCAATAATATACACACCTTGTATGTGAGTGTATTTTTTGTCCACAATCATTGTTTGGAACCTTTGGCTCTACCAACCCTAACGTCAGGAAGGTTTGTGTCCCAAGTGGCAGAGATCATGGCAAGGACCTTACCTGGTAACCAAAAAGATGAACAATCTGGTGTATAGAATCCAATTGTCACCTAGAAGCAACCCTAAAGTGGTCCACATAGAGAGGCGGAGTCCCTACGTGAGTCGTGATCTCCCCCACCGGCCGCCACTGGAGCCATAAACCAATCGTAACGTAGCTAAGAGCGCGCCAATGTTCGATGTTCGCGGCCGTTCTAGATGTGTAGAGAATAATATTACCGGCTTCGATGGATTTTCTAGGAATGTTTTGGCGCCTTCAATTGCCAAAAATAAGCGTCATCCACTCGCAGATCGACACAGTCAAGTGGAAGTTACAGTGCGGTACGCAAAGCGATCTAGTAAGACGATAGACATTCCAATAATGGTTGAAATTTCAGTTGAAGTGTTTCTTGTATTTGAAGTCAAATGAAGTTAAGTTTGATTATTGTTCAGCGTCAATTATTGGTCAACCCACGGGGAAGAACGTAACAGTAGCTAGTAGTCAAATTTCGAATATAGACCAAAAGTAGTCTGAAAATTCANAATTTTGTGGTTTCATTTCCAATTAAACATGAAATATAGCAGTATCATCAATAAAACTGATCACGTAACCTTTTTTTTTCCGAAATTCAACAAGAAACTGATATATGTATTGAATAAAAGAGACCCCGGAACCGTTCCTTGAGGAACACCAAATGTAACATTTCAATGAAAAAGGAAGTCCTGAAGGGGAGTTCGGTCCTTTACAAAATCAATCTTCGATATCGAAAAGGAAATGAACAGCATACCAACTGAACAACAATTGTTTAAAAAGTAAATAGCTGTAATTATACTATATATAAATTATGATTATTTCGGTGAATCAAGCTGTGGCAAAATTTAATTTCTGTGTTCGTTTCAAGTGCGAGATATTGCATGTTTCTGTGACAATATTTGAAAAATGAAGAACGCCCAGTTTTTGGAAATATGAATCCTTGAAAATTTGTCTGTAAGTGGGTATATAGAATCCGAATCCACTGTTACCAAGGATTTTGACCGAAATAGATATAGAGCTAGTTTTGCAATAGCAACTGGTGGAACACATGACTTATCGAGTAAATAAGATCACCAACAAACAATATCTGCCAGGATTCAATGTGGATAATGATGAACTTAACAAATTACTTCATAATCATCAGGTCAGGACAGCTTTAAGGACAATTTTGATATTGACACTGCAACAAAACTTGCCCCTTTCCACTATCACTCTTTATCCGCATCTACAGTTTGGCAGTGGTTATAATTAAGTCCTGTCTACCTGAGGTCAGCTATTATTTGCTAATTGCAACCCTCTCCAATTCATAATCACGTGTTTCTTTTTTGACGGAGCTTGCTTAGGAGATGACTATAGTATAGAAACCTCTGATTTCATAACACTGTTTCATAACAACAGACTTTTGATTCTCGTAGCAGATAGTTTTTTTTACTGATCCATTTGAAACTGAAGTGAAACATACGTTTGTTAGAATGAGTACTTTTCCGATCTAAATTCACATAATATATGTTTATTTTTTCAAAATTGGTGAATCTGTTGAAAATTCAATGAATTAGTGAATATACTGAACCAACAGAAACAAGGAGTAACTTCCTCACCTAGAAAAACGTACGTCCAATGAATATTCCTTATAGATAAATAGGACATTTTTTAAATATGTCTTCTGTTGATCTGTACGTCCATCTGTTGTTAACCCTTGATATTAATAGCTTCTGCGATGCTGTTTATTTATACAAGATACATTACCGGGCCGAGAAATGTTCCTTGGGGAACCCCAACTTTTACCTCATCGGTAGAATAGCTGCCGAGAAAGTCATTGAAATTGTGAATGTCCTTTGAACTTATTGTTTCCACTCAACACAATCACAGAAACACACTTTCAGGAAAACCTCAGCTTGAATTCACCCAATGCTTACAGAAAAACTCTTAAAATAAATAACATCACTCTCGAGAACACTATTTAAGAAAATAAAGTCTCATATCACAATTTTCAACACACTTTTTCGTCGAAAGGAGTCTTGACGAAGTAGGTCGTCAGCGTCCCCTTGCCCTTGACGTAGGTTGGCCCCCTGCACTCGCAGTGGTAACCTGCGTTCATGAGAACTTGGGCTGTGACGTCAGTTGTCTGTATTCTGCCTAGCGTGCCGCAGGAATCCATCCTGGAGGCAACGTTGACAGTGTTACCCCAGATGTCGTACTGTGGTTTCTGAGCTCCCACTACACCGGCTATCACTGGACCATGGTTCAAACCTGTGAAAGAAAGGTCCACTGCAGATTTTTCTCAAGTAGAAATAGAAATTTTTTGATGTATATTTATCAGCTTTCAAATCCTTATGTCTTTTTTCGAACAGTTCAAAAGATAATAAATTTCCTGGGAACAATTTGAGTATTTGCCAATGAGGGAGTATAGGGTGTTTTCCTACAAAAATAATAATGAGAATAATGATAATAATCAATAATAATAATGATAATAATGAGCAGGGATGGCCACCAACACTTAAGGCATCACCAACACCGGCAGCCCAGGCACACTCGGAAGGGAGAACACTATTATCCCTCTGGTACCGTATTCTATCTTTGCCGGCACGGCATATAGTTCCTTCTCAGCCTATTAACGAAGTGATAGATCAGAAAACGCAGGGCACTCCACAGAATCAGGCTCCCGAAGCCCCAAGAATCGGCTTATTTTGATGCTGAGGTTCGTGGTGTTCGAACAGAAGAGGCTGACATCTGGCAAATCAACACCGCCTTCTACAGCTTCGCCCAATCGCTTTCTTATTCGAAAGGACAAAATCCCGGCCTTGCCGTTCGGAAAATGGAACTGCATTGGACCAAATTATCACTTGTGGGGGGTGATAATGGTTGTGGGGTTGATAATGGTGGTGCACCCTCCCGAATCTATTGAGACTCCGGGGATAGGCCCCGACAAGCGCAACCGTAGGATAATAATAATATTCATCCAACATTTCTGTAAACATGACGACTGAAAGCTATTATTTAAAAGAAAACTCAAACTGAAAATTGAACAGTAACTGTTTCCATTTCAGAGATAGGTTGCCATACATTGTATCCCGATATTGCCATTCCTCCAGAATTCTATAATGAAATATTTTGAATTCAATGGCGATCTACAAATTATATTCTCATATTTACAACACATTGTATTCGGTCAAAAAATTAGGAAAGAGCATCGAATGTGAAACATAATAATCTAATTTTTGTCGTGTATGACATTCAAACAAAAACTTACCAACTCTCAGTTTGAATCTTTGAAAGGCGTCTCTGTTAATCTGTTCCAAACTTGTCATGAGCAAAACAGCAAATTCTACGAGAGCTGTTATTACATGCTCTTCTTTTCTGCTGGCTTCCTGAAATACCAAACTTTCATGATGAACTCCTTCACAGATTTTAAACAGATTTTCAAACATAATCGTTTGAAATTGAAAGTATATAATGTATTCAGTACTTGAAACTACTACAGTTTCAATAGAGTCTTACCTTGAAAATGTCCTAAGAATAGTGATCATGGAATTGGAAAAAAATATTTTTTAAAAATTTGTATTTCTTAAAGAGTACAATACTGACCTTACTATCACCCTCCTTCCCAGGCCTCAGTCCAGAAGCCAACATGTAGGTGCTGCCAATAGTTTTGATTTTTTCAATGCAACTGAATTTGGGCTTCAGCAAAAGCTACAAAAACACCGCTATTGGACATGACCATCGCAAACATTATTCACAAAAAATTAGTATACACACCTTATCGAATTCGCAAATGATCTCGTTGAGCAATCTTAAACATTCGAGACCTTGTTTGTTGACGTCACTTTCATCATAAAACTCTTTGTAATTGGGAATTGAAGCAAACATAACTGCGACGCATGAGTACCTCTCATGGTAGAGATCTTGTGTTACCCTCGTCAGCAAGAAATGTTCTGCTACGTGTGCTGGTAGAATATTTTCCAACAGTATCTGGAAAAATCATCATCAATAATATCATTGTGAGTGTAGAAGGATGTCCTTTGGTTTGAATAATACCCCGTCGACATTTCAAAACACTTTTTCCTTCCCTTGAGGGAAGGAAAGAGTTAATTTGATTGGATATGATTGATTCCATTTGAATAAAACATTATTGAAATGAATAAAATGTCTGAGTATTTACCAAGCAGTTGACCTGTAGTTTTGTGATGAGATACAATTTGTTTTCTACAACCATATCGTCTTCGATAAAGTTCATTACAACTAATTGATTTCCAAAGTAAGCTTGATTCAGTAGGTTACAGAAAAACATTCATAATTCATACTCTCTCCAGTCTATACCTTGTTTATTCCTCTCATCGTCTCTACTTCTTCTTGTTCAACCTTGAGCTTGGCCTTCCAGAGATAATCTGTTCTTGACGTGAACTCAATTTGCCTGTCCAAAATGTGAAAAAATATAACGACTAAGGCAAGAGCTAGAGCTGTTTTAACTTCGAAAGGAATTGAAGGAAACCTGAAAGGCAAACATGTTCAGGAACATATAATTGAATTGAAATTGGAAAAACATAAATCCATATTGAATTGTATCTCAAACTTACTCGTCATCATGCACGTCATGATAGTCTTGAAAAAACTGCAGATAGCTATAGATTACGGTATGACTAATGACCGATGTAATCATCAAAACAAGTTTCAGCAGAAAACCCATCCTCAGGAAAACCGATATAGCAGCCAAAACCAAAGCTGAGCTATAAAGATATGTCTAGAAATGAAAACAATTAGGATTTCAATATGGAAATATAATTTGATCAACCTGCTTACAGGAACATATTGTACTACCATTTCCGTAGTGTTGAAAGTGTATACAAATGGTTCCTGCTCTTTGGAAGTGACATTAGTTTCTGAGTCTGAAATATTTCCAAGTGTACCTGTAGGCGCTACTGTAGATATAGATAGTATTGGAATGGGCATAGATACTGGACTGTAATCCACCTATAAACAGAGAGAGAAAATATGTTTATAATCTTTGACTGATTTCAGAATCTAATTGCTGGAAATACAAATTGCCCTATCGACTAACACGGAGTAACTAAAACGAGTAAAAATGTTTGCAATTGTTTGATATCTTGTTGAGATACCTTTCAAATGTTATGTGAACAATAAAAAAATAATTAACTAGTCGAAAAGTCAAATACTTATCGGTATCAGTAATATGAATTCCATCAATTTGCTTTACATTCGAAGAAATTATTACACTATCATCAACATAGAGTCAACATCGTAAAAATATAACTTATCTAGCTCAACTCAATCAATTCACCAAAATACTTGCCCCTACGCACAAAACTAACATTTTTCTTCGTTCTTTAGTGCACGAGCAGATAATATTTCCCACAATTCTCATTGAAATAACCCATTAAAAGGTATTACACTAACCAAAGTAATAACTGCACAAGCAGAGATTAGCGTCACTGAAACCAAAAATATAGACAACCTCAAACATCTACTCTCAGCGACAATTTGCCCAGGAGGAGAGCAAGCTCCTGGTTCATCCACAGGCGTATCTGAGGGTGGTCTTGGACCGCAACATCCGTCCAGCCAGCAGAGGTAGACGAAGATCAGAAGTACGATTAGAGTTGGTGTTAGGGTTCCAAAGAGGATGATGCTTCTGAAAATTAAATGAGTCCTATCGTTATCAAACTTTCCAGTGATATGAGCCATATTGAAAATAGTAGATTCACACTGTTATTCAGTTATTTCGTTGAAAAATATCCAAAATTCAATCACACAGCTGAAAACTCCACACATCTGACGCCAATTCCGCAAATTCCACAAAATCACTTTCTCCATCACAATAATGCGATCAATTGTTCATTCCGAATATTCTGAAGATATTATCCCCTCTTTTCTCTGTCGCCCCCTTTCTTTAAAAATCAGAAGGTGCAAGTTCATCCTTCAAAGAAAAATATCCTCGAATTCCCAAGACTTGAAATATTTTCACTTTTCGGGATAGACGTAACTGTAAACTTAGAGGGGAATTGAAAACTTCAATACACATTGTAAAGCTGTTCGTGCTCTCGAAACTTTCAGAATATAATAAAATCGAGATTGGATACCGGCATTGTCAAGTAGTAATATTATAGTAATACTGTTGTATCTTCTTCGAAATATTGGAATTTCTAAAAGCTTCGAGGAAAATTCTCTGAAAATGAAATCCATTTCCTCTGTCTGTGAGATAGTCCACAAAAAAAAAACATCTTGTGTAAGATAGGATATGGAAGATTGAAGTGAGGTGTCGTGTTATAAAATATTTTTTTTGTCTCGTTTGAGATAAAAATGGTAATTGAACATTTCATGTATCTGCGTATCTGTAGAGTAGGGAGGGTGAGTGTAGATCCACAGCACTTAGCCCATATGTGACCCATTGTACATCCTCCCAAGGAGTTGTCCTCCTAGGTCATCGTCCATCCTGTCCTTTCCAGGAAGGTGGCAGGTCTCTGGGAGACATCTCCTTTATATTGGCAGGTGTAGGCCAAGACTCGATGAACACACACTCTCTTATTGACGATAGTTTCATTTTCCTGTTCACATATCCTGCATAGAGATGTGTCCACTAGCGCCATATTTGTGGAGGTGTTTCCTTAGTTGACAGTGACCAGTCAGAAGCGTCAGCTTCCCAGGGTCGCCCAGGGTGATCCTGGCAGGACTGGATCCTTTGATTCCATCCCATCTCTTTAGGGATTGAGCATGGGTGTGACGTTTGGCTAGTTCCGCAATTGTCGAAGTCATCAGGTCGCAGTTGCCACTGGAATATTTCATGTATTCGGAAAAGCAAATGGAATCAAATTATTACTCGAAAGTTATTCCAAATGACTTCGTTGACGAGAATAAGCAATTGCTGATTAATTTGTCGGAGATCCAATAATATTTGTGAGATATTAGGCTCAATACTCAAGGAAGTGAGATTCCTCAGTTCATTACTGTTTCCAATAGTAGCAAGATGCATTGGAATAAGTGAAAGTAAGAATACGGAAGTTTGATGTAGAATGGAAAGATCAAAGGTTGAACCATTCAAAATAAGTGACAATTTGATGATGAATAATATATTCTTTTTGTGGAAAAGGCCTCTCGAGGTCGACTTTATTCGACATTTGTGTTACTAAAGAAAGCTGTTGCTGTAAATATTCAAAAACAAGTGTAGATGAAAATATAAAAAATATTTAAAGATCTGAATATGTCAGCTCTAGCACAAAATTTCGCTAACACTTATAATTATTAAAATCAATTTTTTTTCTGATTTTCTTTTGAAGAACCTATCAACGAAGTTACGTACAGCACCATCTGCCCGCGAATAGATCAAGCAATAATGTCGATAGTTACGTACAGCGCCATCTGCCCGCGAATAGATCAAGCAATAACAAACAAAGATACATACAAACATACATACATACAGGTGAAGCTAATATAAAGCGTGTAAAAACAGTATTTAAGTAACACTTCAAATTGATAATGCAGTAAGTGAGTAAAATTTAATTAGTATGAACACATCTGAAAAAACTATTGACTATTGTATAGCGAAACACGTGCTTTCGGTTTCGTAAACACTGTCAAGTGGAAATCTCACAACAAAGTGTTACTCCAATACGTTATCGTGGATTCTCATCAAGCATTTTCCAATACCATCACAAAAACAGCAATAATCATATAAATAATTATCGTTGTACTTTTTTCTCAAAGCAGTAATCCATTCCCAAAAACCTGCAATGCTACAAGTACCTAAATTATGATAAACTCCCTGAACTAATGTAAGACTATTCTCCGAACAAACCTCTTGCAAATTCCTCGGTGCGAATTCAAATCCCCCGTCAAAAATAATCCCGGCTGACTTACCTCGGGATCGTGGCGATCTGCATAACGCACATCGCGAGGAACAAGAAACAAGCGCAGGCGACGTAACAGCGGAATTCCGGATCAGGTTGGCCGCGATACTCGGTCTCCTGCTTTCTGTTTTGGAACCACAGCAGAGCAGGGTGCAGGTCTTCGCTGTTCCACCATTTCCTGAAACATGCTCGCGTCTTAATGCGTTCTTCATTATTCAAGTAAGCCGTCGCTTCCTCTTGAAAAAATTCGAAGGGATTGAGACTTCCTCAGGAAGGAAATGAGAGGAAGGAAGGGTTTTTTTAGCGGCAGCATTGGATTCTCTTGAATTTTTTTTCTCAAGGAGAGTAAAAATGACTTTCCATTGTTTTCTATGCGATTCCAAAAGATTCGAAAGCATTTTATAATGACCAAACATTTCAGAGAACATTAATTGAGATATACGTAAATTATTCGACATTAAAAATAACTACGTTCTACAAAAAAAAACTAAAAATTGAATATCGTCTGGTTTCGATGAAATTACAACCAAACTGGTGAAATCTAACATATCAAACAAAGTCGCAAAATCATATCAGTTACACCATACCTCAAAAAAAAATTGAAGATTGAACTGAGATGCCTATACACTGGTGTAGCGACTGATACTTGTAGGATTTCTAATCAAATCTATCTACTTACTCAACTTCATTAACGTGTTCCGCTTGAAAACCCGCTAAATAGTGTTAATATCGCTACTCGTATGACGATATAGTGTCGCCTATTCCACAACGTGACGATTTGAATTGAGTGGTAGATGTGAATTGTAATGACACTGACATAAAATATTTTTCTAGGTTGTGTATGCAAATGTGTGAAAGTTTCCCGGTTCCTTTGATTCACTTTTGTGAATTTATAAACGTCAACATTTACATTGACAACGTGAACATAGACATTAACATTATCATTTCGATTAGCGTCATCGTTGTCATTATTGAAATTTTTCATTAGCATCAACATAAATATTGACAATAACAATAACATTAACATTGATACCAACATAAAAATCAACATTAACATAAACATTAACATCAACATTGACATTGACTTCAACATTAATTATAATATCATCATCCATGATGATAGGTGAACAATTATCAAAAATATTTTCCAATCCCAGACATAGCTCCATCATTGCTTCATCGGTAACATCAACATTAACATTAACAGCAACATTAACATTAACAGCAACATCAACATTAATATTAACATTAACAGCAACATCAACATTAACGTTGACAATAACATTAACATTGATACCAACATAAAAATCAACATTAACATAAACATCAACGTTGACATTAACATCAACTTTAGAAATAATATCATTATCAATGATAATAAGTGAACAATTATCAAAAATATTTTTCAATTCTAGACATAGCTCCATAATTGCTTCATCGGTAACATTAACATTAACGTTAACATTGACGTTTACGTTAACGTCATTAACATTAACGTTAACATTGATGTTAACGTTAACGTAGACGTTAACATTAACATTTATGTTAACGTTACATTAACAATAACATCAAGTCAATGTCGACGTTAACGTTAACATTAAAATTAACATTAACATTGAACATTGAAATTTATATTACTATTTCCATTAGCGTCGTCTTCGTCATTATTATAATTTTTTTATTGAAACTCAGTTGATTGATTAATTAAGGGCAAATCAACGGTCTCCAACTTGACATATATCTATCATTTCACGCATATCTATTATATTTTCTGACGCCTCTGATTTATTGCACACTTCGAATCACCAGAGGGAAACACGTTGTGGTTTATGGAGCGAAAATATCCGTGTGATTTCCACAGAAGCCGAGTTTCCTATAACGATGTGTTTCGACGAATCGCAGTACCTTGAGCGTGTTTTATCGTAAAAGGGAAATATATTTTCCACATCGTGTGAGTCGAATTGACGGGCATGTCGAAGAGATTTCGAATGAAAGCTCATTTCACGCATATCTATTATATTTTCTGACGCCTCTGATTTATTGCACACTTCGATTCACCAGAGGGAAACACGTTGTGGTTTATGGAGCGAAAATATCCGTGTGATTTCCACAGAAGCCGAGTTTCCTATAACGATGTGTTTCGACGAATCGCAGTACCTTGAGCGTGTTTTATCGTAAAAGGGAAATATATTTTCCACATCGTGTGAGTCGAATTGACGGGCATGTCGAAGAGATTTCGAATGAAAGCTCACGAGTTTCACCGACAAAATATGACACTACAAATACGTGTTGCTTGAAAATAGACGCTCAAAGATCTCATGAACTCATGCTCGAAGATATCAGGAAAAATGACAGAAAAATTGAAATTTTATCAGAGTTATGTCTGGTACCTATCGAAGTATTTTCATTCCAACTAGCCAAAGCTGTAGCTTTCGATCCCTCAATAAATAATTCAATTTCGAAACTTGATTTCAACTCAATTTCCCGATTCCAGTAAATCAATTTCCTTTGTGAACATATATTTCACTGAGGCGAAGTTTATATCCATGCAGTCAAGCTACTCTTGAAATCAGTGGAGTCGCAGGCACACTGCTGTTTGGGCGAATCTTTCCTGTACTGATGAGGGGCAATATCCCGGAACTGGTATATAGGGGATCTACTCGATTAATTTCAGTGTGGTCCTGGTGCTGAATAAATTAGGAGCATCTGCAAGGTAAAGCACCACAACTGAGTTGATTAACCCTCCATAGGTCGCGCCATGGTCTGTGAAACCATATAAACAGTGTGTCATAGTTATTCCTCGGATGCAAAGCTGCTCTTCGATGTACCCTCCCCTAATAGGTACCTGAAACCACAGTATCCAGGGGACCACTGCCAAGTGAGGTGTCAGTGAGTTGTTTTGTATTGCGGTGTTAGATTTCAGCGCGAACAGTTACTCATACGGTTTGCCATTCCGTCGCGACCGATTGGTATATTTTTTTGACAGGTATGTATATATTACAAACAAAAATTCGTTGTTTGAATGAGAATTTCCAGTCATGTATAGCTATGAACGGGAGCAACAACGTCTCCGGGTACTCCTGGAGAAGAGCGATATGCAGGATGGAAGCCCACCTGTTTTTGACGATGAATCAGATAATGAAGATATTGGTGACATACAAATGGATGATGTAGAAGTTCATGACACAGATACCGAGCAAGACATTTCTGAGGGCGAAAATGAAGATACAGAAACTGTCTCTACCTGTCAAAATGAAGGGGGAAATACTATCCGCACCCGTTTGTGCTATAAAGATCAAAAAACATAACACCTATTGGAAAAAACATCCACACACCACAAAGGAGTCCGCACCAGGCAAGAAAATCTCATTAGAAAGCTGCCATCACCAACAGCAGCAACTAAGAATTTGAAGTCGCCAGTCGACGTATAGTCATACTTTGTGAATGAAGAAATAATTAATATCATAGTTACCTCAACTAACAAGTATATCACGTCAGTCGCAAACAATTTCAATAGACAGCGGGATGCACATATTACGGACAAGACAGAAATTAGAGCATTATTTGGACTTCTTTATTTAGCTGGAATTTGCCGTGGGAATCGTATATGAAGATCTTTGGAGACGAGATGGATATGGGGTAGACCGCTTCTATCTAACTATGTCCAATACAATTGCGTTGTATTAGATTTGATGATAAAGCTACACGACCATAACGAATGAGTCTTGATAAATTGGCTCCTATTCAAGATGTTTTTGAAATTTTTGTAAATAATTGCAAAGCAAGATATTGCTTATCAGAATTTGTCACCATTGATGAACAACTCCCAGCTTTCAGAGGAAAATGTAGTTTTAGACAATATATACGGTCAAAGCCTACCAAGTATGGTATTAAAATATTTTCCCTTTGTGCAAAGATGTTTTTCACAAGTAATATGGAGGTATATCTAGGCAAACAGCCTGAGGGTCCGTATAAGATTTCATACACAGGAATGGATGTTGTCATGCGACTAAGTCAACACATTTACCAGTCTGGGCGTAACATTACCACGGATAACTGGTTCACTTCGGTGCCTCTAGTGAATACTTTGCTCCAGGACCAATAGTTTAACTTTAATTAGAACTTTGAAAAAAATTAACCGGAATCGCCAATTGAATTTTCAAAACTGAAAGGAAGACCTTTATATCGCAACATGTTTGGTTTTATCGCCGGAACTACCATTGTGTCTTTTATTCCTAAGGCAAATAAAAATGAAGTTTTAATTTCAAGTTTACACCATTCCGACGAAATCGACACTAGTGATCAAAATAAGCCGTCCATGATAACCGAATATAACAATACTAAGGGTGGTGTAGATGTAGTAGATAAACTATGCAGTGCCTATGACTGTGCTCGCAATACAAGAAGTTGGCCGATAGTCATTTTTTACCACCTCTTGAACACAGCTGGTATTAATTCACAGATTATTTCTGATGCGAATACTTTTGATCCTAGTAGGCCTAAGCTATTGAGAAAAAAATTTTTGAGCCACCAGTCAAGTGAACTGACTGAACCTTATATAAAGCAACGTGCAAGCCTGACCAATCTGCCTAAGGGTCTCAAAATGCAGCTACAAGACATATGTAGTCCCAGCACGTCGGATGCCCAAGAAAATGTGAGACCAGGTAGGTGTCATTATTGCAGTTACAAAAAGAATAGAAGAACCAGATTCACCTGCTTCAAATGCAATAAATTCATATGCCTGGAACATATAACACCAGTATGTAAAGAATGCAAAGAAGAGGTCTGTCACTGATTAATATATTGTATTTTATTGTAACAGTTGAAAATAAATAGTTTTGAAATTATGTTTTTGTTGTCTTACACTAACTAAGCTTTTTCAGTTGCTGTAGTGATCCCTATTGTAGATTAAAATGATCCGGGCCCTTCTTTATATGATATATACAGATATACGGTTTCGTAGACCACCGCGACCTACTATGTTACAAATAGTGGCGCGACCTATGGAGGGTTAAGCCTTCAATGAGCAAAATTCTGGTGTGAAAATGGTTTAGGTGTATTTCATTTGAAAAAATCAATGTATTGTTGAAAAGCCGTATTATAAACGTTCACATCTCCTTCAATTATACGAGGTCTTTTCAAGGATAGGGTGAATTTTCATTTTTCTCGAAAAAATATTTATTTATTCATTGATTTCCATTTTGTTTCCTTCAAAATAGTCCCTGTCAAATATAATGCACTTGTTTTAGTGTTTTTCCCAATCCTC